GGGGGGCGGAGGGAGATGGTCTAAATGGGTAAGGGGCATTAAGGAATCTACTCCTGAAATCATTGTTGCACCACATGGTACTAACTTGGATGTAAATTAAACAATAAATAAATTATAAAAAATAAAATAAAATGTTTAAAAAAAAGACTACAGAGGCAAATTCCTCATGTGTTGCTGTCATTTTTTTTTAAGATTTTATTTTTAAGTAATCTCTACACCCAATGTGGGGCTCAAACTCAGAACCTCAAGATCAAGAGTCTCATGCACTGCTGACTGAGCCAGTCAGGCGCCCTGTTCATTATAGTTTTAAATCACCCATCCACACTACTATTGGCACCCAGAATCCTAGGTTAGATATCCAAATGAATTACAGCCAAACTTTACATTTAAATGACTATCTTAATGTTTCAATTAACTTCTGCTTCATCTTTTTTAAATGCTAAAAACACAGAATCAAGTTTTCCAGTACTTGTCTAAGACTACATAATCTTTTCCACTTCAGGTAGAAAAACAAGCAAAGAATCCTATGATGTTAACCAGACTTACTGTGGTGATCATTATGCAATGTATGCAAATATTGAATCATTATGTTGTACATCTAGAACGAATACAATGTTACATGTTAGTTACACCTCAGTTAAAAAAAAAAAAAAAAAAGACAGCTGGGGCGCCTGGGTGGCTGTCGGTTAAGCGTCTGACTTTGGCTCAGGTCATGATCTCGCCATTTGTGAGTTTGAGCCCCGCATTGGGCTCTGTGCTGACAGCTCAGAGCCTGGAACCTGCTTCAGATTCTGTGTCTCCCTCTCTCTCTGCCCGTCCCCTGCTCATGCTCTGTCTCTCTCTGTCTCAAAAATAAGGAAAACATTAAAAAAAAAATTTTAAAAAGACAGCTGCTAACAACCGAAAAAATAATAGTCAAATTTGATTTCTAGTCTAACACATCAAAAAATGAGATGGATCGGGACATCTGGGTCATTCAGTCAGTTAAGCACCCAACTCAATTTTGGCTCAGGTCATTATCTCACAGTTTATGAGTTCAAGCCCCACATCTGTGCTGATAGTGCATAGCATACTTGGGATTCTCTCTCTCTCCCTGCCTCTCTCTCTGTCCCTCCCCAGCTTGTGCTTGCGGCTGTCTCTCAAAATAATTCTTTTTTAAAATGAGATGGATCAAAGTGGCAGGACAATCTAATTCTGTAGAAAATAAACTCTTAGCCATATTTTTATGGCAAGAGGATAAAAGACAGGGTATTATCACCACATGGCCAAAAAATTCCATGCAAGGACAGGTGCTTGGAAGATCCAGCAAGGCATTCCCTAACCAGAGGGATGACTGAACCACCCCTTGTTAAAGCCACTGGAGGGCTGTTAAGATCTTCCACCTAGATGTGCCTAAAAATAGAATCCTTAATACAATGTATGCTGTTAGAAACTTGATAAAACATCATGTGGCTTTTTGTACTATTATTCAACTTCTAGAAATTTTTCCTAAGGAGAAGATTCAACTACAGAAAAAGTTATAGGCATGAATTTGTTCAACACAGCATTATTTATAATCACACAAAACTGTAAACAACCTAAATTTCCTGTAATAATGGAATGATTAAGTACATTACAGGCTATTCATTGAGGGAATTTTATTGTCTTAAAATTCACTGTTAGACTGACCGGACATTTAATGATATTAAAGAATTATTTTTAGTTTTTTTAAGTTTTAAAAATGACATTGTTATGTTTTTAAATCTTCTTTACATTTTAAAGATATATACTTAAGTATTTACAAGTGAAATAATATGGTGTCCAGAATTTACTTCAAAATAACTCAAGGATACAGATGAAACAAGAAGTCTGTGCACTGATATTTACTGAAACTAAGATGAGTACATAGGAGATTATTGGGCTACTGTCATTGCTTTTGGTTATGTTTGAAAATTTCCTTAATGTTAAAAAAAAAAAACTTCACCTCTTATTTTAACCTATAACATGCAGAGTACATATGATAAATGAAAAGCCATACAAAAAAGTTTATATACAATAAGTTTAAAGCTGTGTAAACATAATAGGAAAAATGCAAAAACAAATTTACCAAAATATAGATCTTTTAGGATGGCAAAATTAGTATTTTCCTCCTTTTCTTTATTTCCCAAATATTTAGTAATAAAGTTGTATTACTTTTGTAGCAAAAAAAAAAAAAAAATTATGCTATTACAAATGTCGTGAAATCCCAAGTGTGTCTAGAATCCAGCGGGCTGCCAGGACCAGAGCCACTTCATCAGTGTCCAAGTAGACTATTTTACTGAAGGGAAACTTGTGTCTAAGGAAAAGAAGTTACAATTTGAAAACTGTCAGCTGATACGGCAACAGATAAAATCTGAAAGAGAAACTATAAGAATTAAGTAAAATCTTTGACAGTTATTAAATTTCTGTAAAAGTCTTATTCTGGCTTCCAGAAGAAATCAAGAGACTGGAAACTCAGAAATCCCAGCTGCTACTCTTGTTCTAGATGTAAATATAGATATTACCTAGCATTCAAAAGTCAAACTAACATCACATCATCTGGCATCTCCTTGCAAGCTAAAAATCACCCATATGAATACTTCTTCCAACAGTCAATTTCACAGTTGATGGACTGTTGTATAG